AGGTGAAGTATCTAGTTGAAAATGACTATTCAAATCAACTCGAAGGAAATTATTCAAATAATCCATTTTGATTGAATACCATTAAGTAAAATAGAAGATGAAACATCCAAATTGACATTCTATTAACAACAACCTCTACGATAACTAAGAATGTTTAACCTTCTAAATCAATTATTTCTAAAAACTTCAGCATTATCCATAAGTAAAGACAATATAATAAAATCAACGATGATCAATCACCAAACCAAAGACTAGAACTTTAGCAAAAACAAAAGTAAACACCATAAAGAAAAATAATATAATCATAAAAACAACAAAAAAAATAAATCTCAACATAAAAGATATAACTATAATTAAAAATGTAAAAGCAAATTGCATACATAATTAAAAGATAAATAACATAATTAAAACAAAAATGTTAACAGGCAAACCTAGTAATGCAAAATGCAATAAAATGAGACTAAAAATCAAATAAGCTTCAAATGCAACCTACAAACAAAAAACGAAAAATAAGCAAAACCTTTCATAATATTTTTATAATAAAATTTTATTCGCAATTCAACATCAAAGGAACTAACAATTCACAAATACAAAATGAAAAAAATATCACATAACAACAGTACAATCATAATTTAAAAAAGAAAGTAAAAAATGTAAACACAAGAAAGAAAAATATGATTGCATAACAAAACAAATCAACATATGATTTTAACACATAATATCAATTCATAACAAAACATCAGAATCCACATGTAATTGCATAATATAATAATGAAACACAACATAAAAATGAACTATAACAATATCTAAAAAATAGTTACATGCACCATAAATTTTAAAATCTTAAACATTACGAGCTCATATACAACTCACAATAATAATAAAAGAGAATAAAAAAGAAAACAAACAACGTAGATAATTAAACAAGAAAATATGTGTAATGACAACTTTTTTATCAATTCATATTCATCAAGGTAACAATTGTCATATTAAAAACAAAAAAAAATTACATAATACTATTATTAAATAAGCCTCCAAAAAATAACATCAACATGATTATAAGTAAACAAAGAAAAGCAAAAAGCAAAATGGAATAAAAAAGATATGGCATAACTTAAGTACAAAATAAACTACAACTAAATATAATTTTTCATAGTCAATATCTTGTACATTAGTAGTCAAATGTTTGGAAATAGTATGCAAACCAATTCAAAGAATGCAAAAATCATAAAAACCTTGTATGCAAATGTATTCCCATAATCATAGTATGTAAAACTTAAAAAAAAAAACACACAAAAAATGTAAATCACTGATAACAACATGATAAAATAATAAAACTGCTAACATCCACAAATCTAACGCCAGAAACATACAATAGATATAAAAAAGGTCGAAAGAAACAACAAACAGTGAAACCAAAAAAACGAAGTACATCTACCAAAGCAACTCTTAAATATGTCCTACAAAAAAAATAAAGTAAAAACATATGAGAATAATATCCAATGCCTCTATAACAATATTTTTTTAATTCATTAATATCCATAACGATCAAATTCATAAAAAAAACAATCATATAATAATAATGACACAACCATCTAAATTCAGAAAACAATCATAACCTAAAGCAAAAATAACAAACAACAAATATAAACAAAAACACAAACAAAAAAAATGTATGAATAAACCATCACAAAATTGATATAGATAATAAAACATTCCTAAAATATCATTGTTTTTTTTAAGGAAAAAAAAAAAACTCAAACCCAAAAATAAGCAGTAAACAATTAGCTTTTGATAAAAAATCCATAATTTTGGATTTATCTAATATAAATAAATTGCAAAAACATCCCAAAATAATAAGAATAATGAAAAGATAGACTAAGTTTTCATAACTAAGCAAAAAAAGTGATAACTAATAGATAGAAAAAAATAAATATTTAAACCAAACATTCAATGCTAATTCCAATATAGCAACGATACAATGCAACCACTAATATAACTGAAGCAAACAAGAAATAACAAGACTCATAACAACTCAATCACAAGAAAAAAAATAATGAAATCCAAAAGAAATTAAGAATACCAAACTCTAAAACCAAAATACAAAATAAAGTAGAATAAAAAAATATACATCTCGGTGAAACAATGAAAAAAAAAAACAAAATCTTAAAAAAATATATAGATAAATGAAATCGTGACAACAACTAAAAAACAAATGGAACATAATAAAGAACAACACTAACTAGAGAAATCAAACAATAAAATAACAAAGCTAAAAATACAAATAAAGCAAACAGAATGAACAAAAAAAAAATCAAAGATAACCAATGAGAAAAGTAACCTAAAAAAGCAATGAGACACTAAACATCCAATGTAATAACCTTTTAACCACAATGAAATAATTCCAAAAAAATGATTAATTTCTAAAAAAAAATAAAAAGGATAGTAGGCTAACAAAAAATTATGAAATATATCAATTCTGACAAACCTAATACTATACATCATAATCAATCTCACAAAAAACAAAAGCAACAAAGCAAAAAAATAAATCTCAACCCATAGGAAACCTAAAAAAATCTAATAAGAGAGTAAACTTGAACAACCTAATAAAAGAAATAACAAACAAAACATGCCAATGAGAATATAAGAAAATGAAATATAGAAGTAAGTAAAAGAAGGGAAACAAATCACACAAGTAAATCAGAGATATGAATGAAAAAAATTGGAGAAAACCAAAAATTTGACAAAAACAAAAAAGAAATAATTGAAAAGAAAATTAGGATATAGGTAAAATGAAAACAGTTGATTGATAAAAAAAAAATCCAAAATAAAGCAAGCAACATAAAGAAAAAAAAAAAGCACCAAGTAAAAAGAAGAAAAGAATAAACAAAGGTGTGACACATGACTAAACAAAACACGGTTAAGAGGAAGTAAAAATTAGTAAATTTAATAGTATGGATGAATGGATGTGATTATAATATATTTTTACTTCATAAAAAGGTAATTACTGTTTGATTAGTTATATCACAATCAATCTCACAAAAAACAAATGCAACAAAATGAGAAAAAAAAGATCCTAACCGATGAAAACCTCAAAAAATATGATAAAAGAGTAAACTTGAAAAACCTAATAGAAGAAATAACAAACAAAATATGTCGACGAATACATAAGAAAATGAAGTATAGAAGGAAGTAAAAACAAGAAACAAATCACATAGGTAAATAAGAAATACGAATGAAAAGAAATCAAAGAAAATCGAAAAATCAACAAAAGCAAAAAGAGAAATAATCGAAGAGAAAAATAAGATATAGGCAAAATGAAAACAGTTGATTGATAAAAAAAATTTTAAAAAAAAACAACTTAAAGAAAATCAAAAAGAAAAGCACCAAATAAAAAGAAGAAAAGAACAAACAAAAGTGTAACACATAACTAATCAAAACATAGTTAAAGGGAAGTAAAAATTAATAAATTTAATAGTATGGATGAATGGATGTGATTATAATATATTTTTACTTCATAAAAAAGTAATTAGTGTTTGATTAGTTACATTATTGAAATTTTATGCAAGTTAACTATTTAATCATTTATAATAAGATACACATCAATTAATTATTAAAAAAACAACTTAGGTTAGGTTCTAATTTTTTAGGCACTAATTAGGCAAAATTAATTTATAAATAGTTGAGGATCAGGATTTCAACGTAGAATAGGATTAATTTATAAATAGTTGAGGATCAGGATTTCAACGTAGAATAGGACAAATACACATGTGTAAATGCTCACATACATATTTATTTATTTAATAATACTATAAGTAAATTATTTTATGAAAAAAAATCTTCATATTTTATAAATATATTCAATTATACTAATTTTTTATTTAAGAGAAGACGGTTTAAATTCTTTATGTAAACTTGATAAATAAATAAATAACGCTCTTAAAATTTTAAAAAGATTTACAATTAAAAATTTACAAATAAAAAATAGAAATAATTATATGTTTTTTATAATTAAGATTATTAAAATTTGAATTCTAATAACTGGAACTAAAAGCTCAATACCTTATTAATAACTCATACGAACAGTTATTTATTTTGAGAGATATATTTTAAAAATCAATTAATTGCATCACATAAATTCAAATCACTTCTAAACCATCATTGTTTATAAGCACATGCTAGACAAAATATATGAAGCAACTAAGATAAAAATAAAATTCTTCTTAATTTAGTATTAAATATTTAATCATAATTAATTGTAAATGGTAAAATATTATTATTTTACTTTAAATAATTACTAAAAAAGTTTATAGTATGAGTTGTATAATCTTTTCCTTCTTAATAAAATAAATAAAATTAGTCAATATTTTAATTTAATAAAAAATTCTTAATCTTTATAAAAAAAATGTACGAGACTAATAACTTTACCATATAACAATTTATTTGCTTTAATCAAGAGTTGAAGATTAGAAAGAAAATAGACAAATAAGAATTAACCAATATTTAATTTAATGAAAATTTTCAATTAAATAAAGTTTACAATAAATAAGGATTTTATGGTTAATAAAAATATAAATCAATATTTTAATTTATAAATAGTATATAGACTTATAAACTGTTATGCACTACTCTCCATAAATTGAATTGATACGTACTACGTCTCTACATAAATTAAATTGATATCTGACAACTCCAAAAGGTAGGTAATTTACTACACGAACTCTCTAATTTTACATCTTTTCTGCACTGCACAATGTACCTACACATGGTAAAAGCTACAAACAAAAAATATCCAGAGTGAAAATTGTTACCTAAATGGCTATAGCGCCTGTACCATTGACCCAGAAACAGACTAAACAAGCGAAAATCTCTCAATTGCTCCCATAGTCGTGCATTAATCATATGCTTTATAATGTAAAAGCTAGCTTTTCTAGTGGCAATTTACCCGTTTCCTTGGCGTAAAAGAAAAAACAGAGGGATAAAATAGGATTTGACCAAACTATATAAAAGAGAGATGGAATCAGTATATATTGCTTTTTTAACAGTCACGACTTAATTATATATATTATAGAATAAAAATAGCCTCAAAGTTGCACACAGGAGGTATGCATATATGATAATATGGCATAAAATATGCTCCAAATTAATTATAACAGTCTGCATATAAAATGCAGTTGCTTTTAAACTTCCTGCCAGCAGCAATGTTTCCACATGTTCATCATCATTAAAGAAGCGTGGGAGAGAGATCCATGGGAAAGGGATTTCCCAGAACATTGTCCATGTAATAGTGTGGATGAGTAGCATCCATTACCACAAACTGCATGTCTTCAGATGGCTTCCAGTGCCTTTTCCTTTGATTAATGAACCAGTTGTTTATTTGCTTCTGATCCAGACCAGTTGATTCAGCCAGGGCAAGCTTTTGTGACTCCTGTTGGGACAGTAAGGTTAACAAATACATCAAAGATTTAAGGTTGGATAAATCCCTGGAGATTGCATCCAATGCCAGCCATTTATTAACAGAGAATGATATGTTAAGCAAATTTCCTACGCACAAATCAAGATTACATAATTAATAACATGTGCCAAAGAAAAAGTGTCAAGTTACCAGTATTAAGTGCTTGCCATTCAAATCTTAAATCACAGTGAGTAGAGGATGCAAGTCTAAGAGGAGAAAATTTTCAGAGGGAACATTCATCAAATGAGAATGTTAGCGTTAGAAGATGTAGATAAGGAATAAAATCTGATCACGTAAGATGAAAAGCATTTATTTGAAAGGTCTTTTAAGTGCGTGAAGGGCTGTGTATCAAAAAGGTTGAGGTATGCCCCCCCTCTATTTATTTTCCCTTTTCCAAAAAGGAAAATAATTGGGGAAAGAAAGAGAGGAAGCTCAGGTTTTGCATTAGAATTTGTGATGCAGAAATAGATAAAATAATCCCAATAATGAGTTATGCAATATGTACATACCGATGGATAAGGCCATTTGTAATGTCTACTCCACCAATCCAGCAACTGTTGCCTGGCTTCCTTAGGCAGCTTTCCTTTCTTCCTCTTCTTCATAAACTCCTGCTTCAGACTGCCTAAATATCCACTGTACTTCCGCAAAAGTTGACCTTTAAGCTCTCGATCTTCTGCAAGGGGATCAATGAAATCGTTGTTTACCTCAACCTCTTCCTCAGATGATCCATTCCTGTCAATAGCTTCCACACAAGCTGAATACAAACGAATTAGTAAGCATCTCAAATGAAAATCTATCTCCTACTTGCTCATACCACATCAAGGTTGCTTATTATTCAATTAATCAAAAGAAGTATATAAATTCCTATGTCACCATAAAATTCATTTCCCTTGTCAACAAACAAAGTCATTTAAAGAATGAAATAATTAAAACTGATATTTAGTTTAAAAAAACGAGCTAGCTTATAATCTTTATATTTATTTGGTTTTTGCTTTCTTGTCCAGGAATATATGGTCAAGATACAAAGCCTTTTACACCCAGGTTGCTATAAAATCAATATCATCATCATCACCATCATGTAGAACACACGTCAGGAAAATTAAATCAGATTACATAATGCAATTATGTACGACCATTTCCATTAATGTTGGCCTTATCGGACATAAAAGGTTCAAGAATTTCTAGACGTTAGGTTCCAAACTAACAAAAAGGAAAAAGATTGAATAAATAGACTTCAATGCATCAGAAGTCTATAAAGTCAATTTGACTCTGTACCTTAGGGGTTCTTTATAGACTTTCAATTTTTCTTTTCTCGAGAACCAACATAAAAAGAAAGGGAATTATATTCAAGTGGAGGTAGGCCTACTTATTCATAGACCAAGAAGTATATATATCTGGTTTAAATCAAATTCATATTTCGTTTTGTTAAAACATCTTCGATATAGTATAATAAAATTTGCGGATGAGAACAAGCTTGCCTCAGCAGAGTGCAGTAACACTAAAATTTTTCAACAAAGCAAAGACGAAATGGCCTTACCAAGTTTTATATTAATGCATTTCATCAGACAAGTGTTACGAGATGAAACAACCCTAACTACTTAAGTACCAAAAGAAAAAGAAAAGATGAACAACCACACCTGCCCTAAGTCGCTAAGATTAAAATGGAGATGGTATTATATCAAATGCTAACCATAAAACTACCACAAATGCTCATTCATTTGCAGAAACCTAAATGCTAGTCTAAACAATAGAATATGATGAAAATGGGTAGAAGGGACTCTAACATAGGCTCAAATAGAATTTCATGATGCACACATGTCAAGCACGATAATGGGGCATAATCTGAACTTGCTATCATTGAACATCTGCATATCAGCAGCCTATAGCATTTGACACGAAAATGAAAATAACATCAGAGAAACATTAGTCTTATAGCTTAAGCTCACATAGCTTTTGTTTCTAACCTGAAAAGAATACTCTGCTTGATATCTAAATCACTGGATTAGTCAGCTAACCAATCATAAGGCCATGACGAAAACATTAAACCAAGTGCGAAAGTTTGAATGATGCATGAAGCATGAAGTTGGAAGGGCCGGAAATTCCAGAAATTAATTTATAAGAGTTGGAGAAATTAGAAAGGGAAAGATTCTCTTTATTTTCTTGGAGATAAAATTTTTTACTTCAAAATTATTCCAATGTGTCATATTTTCTATGAATTGTAAATAATGCCTCGTGAAACAAAAAACCTGAATTTGGAAATATATATATAAAAAAAAAAAACCTCTGGGATTAAAAGGCTTGCACCATTATTTTACCACCAAGTAATTCATGAAACAAAAAACCTGAATTTTGAAATATAAAAAAATGTCTCTGGAATTAAAGGCTTGCACCATTATTTTACAACCAAGTAATTCAAAATCAATTTGTATCAACAAGCACAACATAGGAATTAAAAACTTGTTTACGTTCAACATCTATAACAAATAGAAATGATCATGGTTAACTGCACCCAATGGAGCAAAGATGTTTAATTTTAAAACATGCTAACTTTTTAATGAGTTCAACTGCTCAAGGCAAGTACAACAAGCATCTGAAGATCAAATGCTTTGAGATGCACCACAAAGAGAGAATTCAACTTATGAAGAATTCTGAAGTGGTCATGCATAAAAATGACCATATAAGATGCTGTTTACTCTCAAGAGTGTCAGTTCCTTTCCCACTTTGCAGTACCCTTCCAATTAAAAAGCCCCAAATACTAGGGTTGTGGTTCATATATCCCCCTACTAAAGTTTTTAATCCAGCTGGAACCCTAGTTTGATCAATCTCTTTGAGAGCATAGTTATAATCTTTTATGTATATAATCCAGTCTTCTAAGCAACAAACATACCAAATTTACTACACCTTTGCATCTTAATATGATGTAGGCAGTAACCCCAGCTAGCCGCAAAATATTTCCATTGCCATTCGATTTCCAGAGGGCTTTGCACCCAAACTAGATGGTAGCTAGTTAGTTGCCCCGGAAATCTCCTTCCTCAATCTTGACTTTAAAATTCTCAATATACCAAGAAGTTAACCGGCTGTTTACCAAAACTCCTCATTTTCCAGCATAGTTAAATAACAAAACAATACATTTTCTATGTTACAGCTAGCATACGTTGACAAGCCATTTCCTTCCGCGGTTTAACCCCGAAAAGGTGAAAATACGTATCCATATCTAGCATATCCGAAGATTTCATATGACACCAAGAAAGCACATCAAGAAGACAATAAAAGCAGGGAATCTGCACTATTGTTTGGTGTGGATACCCTAATTAGTAAAACAGTTCCATACCCATTATGAAAGGAGCAGCAAAATTTTAGAGAAGCATAACAGAAGAAAAGAACAAGAGAAGAAGATGCCGAATTAGGAAGGAATGAAAAAATTGTGTACCGCTCTTCGAAACAAGCTCCTCTATCCATACATTATTTTGTTAATTATTAAAGCTAAATGTCTATATTCTTGTAGTGGGATTATATTAAATTTAATATTTAGCAATAATTCATCACAGCAAATGATTTGGAGGTGAGACTGCTAAGAAAAACGCAGGTTACACAGACAAACGAGAGAGAGAATTACCACCAACATTTGGAGAGGAAACTGTGAGGGCTTTGAACTGACACTCGACCCTTTGGAGGAAAAGCATGGCTTCATTGTAGGGTTTAGAGAGTTCTTGCTCGTATTTAGTCAGCATCTCACAATAAGCCTCCATGAACTGGTCAAGTGCTGGATCTTCGCCTATGCAGCAGGTGCTAGTAGGACCCATAGTGGCCGCAGATGCGCATGCTTCTTCTAATCTCGCCATCACTTCAGGTGGTGCTCCTACCTGCTTGGTTTTGTTAATACTGCTTTAATTAGAAGGAACAATGATCTCTTCGCTATTATTAGGGGGAGAAAAAAAGAATAAAAGAAACTTAAGACTCGTGTCTTTGTCACACAATATCTTACTCAAAAAGAGTTCTGACCTCTCGCTTTCATGACAGAAAAATCTTTAAGATGCAGTAAAGGAAAAACATGAGAAACTAGTTCTATGATACGAGTATAAAAATCATCCCTCTCAGCTAAAAATTATTCAATGAAATGACACAGGCTTTTAACTAGCCCATTTCCGAAAGAATGGGTAGCGATGAGTGCGTATTTTGTGTGTGTTCTTCTTGGAACAGAAAGAATGGCCGAGAGAGAGAGGTAAGGGTTTTTTTTTGTCAGATTGGGTAGCAGGCTCATAAGTGCAACCAGTTGGATTTTTCACCTTTTGACAATTGACATAGGCGGCCAAGAGACGATGGTAGTGAGGATGAGCCATGATCTTGGCCTTGACAGAAGAAGAGCTGCCATCGTTGCTCGCCATAAAATAACATCCAGTATTGTTGTTGGTGTAACTGTTGTGATCGTCAAAAATCATAGAGGAGCCAATGCTACTATTGTGGTTGTGGTCTTGATTGTTGGTGGGAGGTAGAGGAAGAAATAAAGAGTTTGAGTCTAAATTAGGATCATGATGATGTTGATGATGAGGATGAGAAGTCATGGGATGCATTATCGTCATAGGACATAGTCCATTACTATTGTGTCCAAAAGCCATCATGCAAGAAGTGCTATTGGAGCCACCTTCCATTATCTCTCACTATCTTATCTTTATTTTTCTACTTCTTGTTCACTAGGGGGATTTGCTATATAACAACATAAACTATTCTCTCTCTCTCTCTCCTTTTTCTTGCTTTTTGGTTTCTCTCTCCTACGCAATCTCTTTTTTTGCCCTAAAGATTGTTTGTATCTCCAGAACTCTCCCGAGATTTATGCTACAAGAACCAGGCTTTTTACAGTCAATCCTAAATAGTGATAGTAGAGGAAGTAGTAGCAGCAGCCAGTCAGTTACGAAATGTGGGTTTTTTACTTCCTTGGCTGGTCTGGCAAAGTCTGCTCAGATTTCCTTTGGAAAATGGGGGTTTATCTTTCTAGTCGTAGGCTGCATTACTTCGTACATCTCTCTCTCGAGCTTCACTTGCTCTTCTTTAGAAGAAAGAAAGGAAGAGAGAGAGAAGAGAAAAGGGCCTGCTGTGCTGTGTTTCAGTAGAGTTGCACAGAGTGCACGCGAGGTATACAGATCGAGAGAGAGAAGCGAGAAGAGAAGGCAGTAGTGTTTCAAGTTTCATGCATGTTAATTATATGTGGTGGGCATCATGTTTGGTGCAAGGCTTTACCTTCCCGATGAAAACTCTCCCCCTCTTGTCTTGCACTGCCATTACTGGCAAAGAGAAAAAAAAAGAGAAGAGAGAGATTAAATATTTATTATAATTTTATTTTTATTTAGAAGGGAAGAGAAACAAGAGTACAACAAAAGAAAGAAAAGAAAGAGAGAGAGAGAGACAGAGGAACGATCAAATCGAGGACGGAAAAGAGCGAAAGGTTTTTGGGGCACGGATTCACCAATTCACAAACTCTTCTCTCTCTTTACGTTCAGTACGTACTGTGCTCTTCACTCATCACTGGATTTTGGATAGCAATCTGTCCACTCATTTAATAATATTCGCACTTATGTTGTCCTCTCCTCGCCTCTCCTTCCCTTTCCTTCCCTTCCCTTCAAAACCCTACCCACCGCTTCTAGTAATATTTTTATTTTATTAATGAAAATATCACTCCCACGATACATTATAAAAATATAATATAAAAATTTTAATTTTTATTCAAAATATTAAAATAAAACTTAAAAATAAGAAAGCATAATATTTGAGTACAATGTTAATGTATAATAACATTGTCTTGATAAACAATTCACTTGATAATAGTATAATTTATGTAAAAATATAGGAGTATTATTTTTTTCAAAACATAGTTAGTTAAGCAAAACAATAAATTAATTATAATGAATTAATGTTAATCACTTAAGATGTTTAATTCTTAATTATATTATAAGCTTTTATTTATTGAAATCAGTCTATTACTAGGTCCATTATTAAATTGACAGAATAAAAATATCACGTCTATAGTAAATCATCAAAATCAAACATATGCCACATATTTTTATTGAAATGAAAGAAAAAATATTTTTTGAGAACAGAGAAAATTTATATTAGCATAAGAAATTTTTTAACACTTTAGCTTTTATATCTCCGTTTAACTTATGAAAAAACATTTATTATTTTTTTCGTTTTAAAATATTTATTATATATTAATTTTCATGAAATTTTTTTAAAAAAATTATTTTAATATATTTAATATTAAAATTTAAATTTTTTATAAAGTTAAATTTTTATAATTTTTAATATAAAAAAATCATAACAAATAATTTTAAAATATAAAAAATTTATATGTTCAAAAAAAATTTTAAATAAATAAATAAATAAATAATAGACAAAAGAAGTATTAATCAATAAGTGGATGTACATGTAAATATTTACTTTTAATCTATAAAATGAAAAAAAAAAAAAAAACCCACGTTTTCATTAATTAGGGGGTGCAGAAAATATACCATTGTGATTTTCTTGGAGCAGACGGGTGAGTGACTGCTTGAAAGCATTATGAGAAAAAATAAAATAAAACAAATAAATAAATAGCTTCCAAAAGGGCAAATTCATAGATAAGGGTGAGTGAAGAATGAAGATAAACACACTCGACAAAATCTTTTCCTAGAGATTTTAAAAATCTCTTACACTCATTGTTAGTCTCAGTCATAGCATCTAATCCGCAATTATTTAACATGGAAAAAAAGTTGGCTTCAACTAGAAAAGATAGTAAAGCAAGTGGGACAGTCCGAATGTCTCTCTCTCTCTCTCTCTTTTTCTCTCTCTCGTATTAAAAGTTAGTCACTCCTCTTTATCTTCCACTCCACTGTGATTTGTGACTCTGTGTGTTAGGCACCAGGGGATACGGCTCCAATCAAGTTGAACAAATCTCTTTTCCTTTGTCTCCCTATAAATCCACCTACTTCTTCCTAACCGTACTCATCTTATGCTATGCTAATCTTACTGTAGTACTAACTGGTCTGTTCTGCGGTGGCTACCAAGGATAGCACCACCCTTTTTCATTAACTGTTTCAGAATACCTAGGTCAATATACATACATAGAGGATTCTGTTGTTATTCTTTATGTATATTTACTTGCGCACCACATCAAGGAATTTTCTTAATTATTATAGGTTTCTTTTTGGAAATTCTCATAAGTTTTGTTTTAATAAAAGGTCAAGGGTTCGAGTGAAAAAAAAAAAAAAGCTTAATTGGAAATGCAATGCTATCGCATCGCTCTGCTTATTTAAACATAATAAAAAATTATAAAAAAATTTATTCATAGAATCAGATCTTTCAATGAAGCTTTTAGTTAATGAGCTTTATAATAAGTATAACTGTATAAGGGTATATTGTTAAAACTAAGATGTTATTCAATGAAAGATCAAAATGCAATTGGTCCAAATTGATTATTTACCAGTACTATTTGTTTATGTGAAATATTATATATATATATATGCTATGCTCTTCATTGTTAAAACTTCATCATGTCAAAGATATGCATATAGATTCTCCTTTCATTTTGACACTTTGTTGAGTGTTTGATTGCTGGACTAGATTTCATTGCATGCTCTCGATCATTACCAAAGAGGTAAAGACTAGATGATCATGTTGAGCATGATCAATACAAGCCTAGAATATAGATTTGATACGTTGCAAAACACGTCCCGATTCTTTCATTTAAATTCGAATATTTTATTCTTGGAGAATCTTATACTATGCTAGCTGGATACATTCAAAGGGATACATACAACTGCAAAAGAACACAGATATATGCTTCTTCCAGGGAAGCAACTGTACGCAGTAGTGAGTGAAAATATGCAAAACTTTGGTTGATCCACTGTCCATGCATAATTTTTATTCAATCTTGGTACACATATAGCGCACCTGCCGTGTCAGGTTGCAAAATTTTTTTCGTTTTCAACATGATGTTTTGACACCGTACCAAGGCATTGAATTCACATTAACTGCATTGCCTTGCCCATTCGAGTCCGCTGAAATATGCCTGCTCGGTTTGCATTTTCTTTTTCAGCATATAGAAAGAGCTTAATCCAATAAAGTAAAATCATTGCGGCAAATGCATTTTCTACATTAAACACCCAAAGAACGATACAGGTACAAGGCTAGACTACGGAGTACTAGCCTTGACAATAATGAGTTAAAGAATAAAGTTTGCCGAAAAAATAAACCACATACATATACATATGAAACAGATAACAATTAATGAGTTACCAAACATTTGGTTTCAAGTTCCAGCTCAAAAGATGATAAACTCTTTAAAGTTAGAACAAATGTTTAAAAAAATGATTTTGACCTTTCTAAACTTACAGTCGAAGGTCCTCTGGTAAACTTATCGTGCATATGTAACGAATCAATACGAGATTTGACCTTTCCCCACTCAATTATTAGGAAAATCAAGACAAAGGAAACACTACTACGGGCACCTTTCATTTTTTTTTCTTTTATTCCGGGTATGCGTAAATACAATGTAGTTTCCGTAGGATTACTGGTATTTTACCATAAAAGCAAATATACCCAAATGCAAAGAGAAGGTTAACTTATGTTTTTCCCCTTTTATCGCAAACATCTGAGTTAAAGGGTTGAGTCAGGGTCAGGGTCAGGTAAGGGTTAGGGTTAGGGTTAGGGTCAAGACGGCCAGGGCCATATGGTTCGAAGGGAGATGTACAGAGAGAGAGAGAGAGAGAGAGAGAGAAGAGAGGACGGTATGGTACGCGAATCCGTCACAACAGCGTAAGAATAAAAGCAAAGAAAAAAGGTTAGAGGGACGTCACTGGTTGTGATGAGGTGAGAAGCTGTCGGTGTGGTGGTGGTGCTGAACTGGTGGGAGAGAGAGAGAAGAGTATCATATGGGTATTACGGAGGGACAGGAAGGCGATGTTCCTTTCAAGCGATAGCTTTTTTTTTCTGATTCACTTTACGTCATTTCCATCAACAGTTGCAAGATAAGAAGTTGAGATTAAAAAAGAACAAAAAATTGAATTGAAAAGAAAGGGAAGAAGGAACAAACTCCTGCTATACTGCGCTACCTGGAGTTCAATAAATAAAGTATGGAACTTTGAAAGACAGATTAGATATCGGAGTATATTTTCTTAACCTTTCTTCTTGACCACTTGGTGTCATGAGCCAGCCCTCCCGGCATTCAATAGCGATTCCACCCTTTTTTCCAGCCATTGTTGATGATTATAATTAGCTTACTAGCTCGTTGCTTCCGTAAAAAGTTATTTTTAAAAAATAAATTTTATATTTTTAAGTATTTATTTGATAAAAATATTGGCTAATAAACCAATTTACTAATTAATAAAAATAAAATTATTTTTAAAAATTTTCTTATAGATTTAAAAAAATATTTTTTGAAAAAAATTATTTATGAATAAAATATATATTAATATTTTTTAATATAATTTTACTTATAAATAATATTACACTAACAAATAAATAATTTTTATATTATAATATATTAATAAATAATATTATATATAAATAAATAATTTATTATTATAATAAATATTATTATAAATAAATATTATAATAAATAATATTATATTAATAAATAATATTATATTATATCAAGAAATCATATATTAATAAATAATATTTTAATAATAATATACTATTAATAAATAATATAAAAATAATAAATAGTTTTATTTTAAATATTTTTATAATTAATATAATATTTTAATATTAAATATTATTAAAATATAATTATTTTTTAATATTAATTATTTTAATAATAAATAATTTTTAATGTTTTAATAGTTATATTAATATTATTTGAAAAAAATAAAATTTTCATAAAACAATTAAATACTTAAAAATATTTTTTATTAACTCATCCAATCAATAAAAAAATTTGTTAATTCAAAAAATAATTATTTTTAAAAAATTATTTTTTATGAAATAAACAAGGCTTTAGTTTCATCTTTAAGTTTGGGTTATTAAAGCTGTGATCATTAGAAATATACTTCACTTTTTTAACCATATACAGGCATGAAGTAATTTTTTATACAAATAATTATATAATCAATTAATAAAATATTTAATTTTTAATTTTAATGATTAAAATTTAATTATAATAATATCATATTAATATATATTATTCTACATCATTAATGTTTATAAACTAAAAATAAAAATAAAATTGCATTATTAATATATGTTAATATATATAT